ATTATGATTTTCCAGAAAATTTTAATGATTTGCAAAATATTGACGAAGATTGGATTATCATATTTATTTTAAGATTTTAAACTAGATTTCGTTTACCAGATATTGCAATCGATATGTTAATTAAATTTGTTAAACATATTTTAACAGAATTAGATCATGAACAGTTTAAAAATTTTTCTACTTCTTTGTATACTATAAGAAAGAAATTGGGATTGAAGCATCAATTCGTCACTTTCTTTGTATGCTCTTCATGTCATAAGTTACATAATATAGATGATGTTAAACAACATACAATTCGTGAGCAGAAAGTAATAAAAAAATGTGATCATATACAATTTCCAAATAATCATCATCATTCTCTTCGAAAATGCGATACTCCTTTATCAGAACAAAAAGAACTAGGAGGTAATAAGATTGTTAATTCTCCATTATTGATTTATCCAATGGCCAGTATAAAAGATCAACTTCTATATATGTACCAAAGGCCAGATTTCGAAAAAAATCTTAAATTATGAGCTGATCGAAATGTTAAAAGAGAAATACTATGTGATATATATGATGGTGAAATTTGGAAGAATTTTTTAAATAGCGGAATAGTATATAATGCAAATGAAGAGGAAATATTAGATGAAGAAAAATTTTTCAATAAAGAACATGCGGATGATCATTTAGGTATTATGATCAATGTTGATTGGTTCCAACCGTTTGAAAGAACGGTTCATAGTAGTAGTGCTATATATGGAATTATTTGTAATCTTCCGAGGAAATTGCACTTTAATACTGAAAATATGCTTATTTTAGGATTAATGCTAGGTCCTAATGAAGCAAGTTTATACCAGATAAACCATTATTTAGCACCAATCGTTGATCAATTGCTAGTTTTCTGGAATGGTATAATATTAGAACAAACTTTTGAACATTCAACAGGAAGATTAATTAAATGTGCAGTGATTGCCTATTGTTGTGATATACCAGCTGCCAGAAAATTGTGTGGCCATATATCGGCCAATGTATATTGTCACAGATGCATTAAAGTTGCAAGAAATAGAAACTTTAGTGGTATAGATAATATTGATGAATGGTTTATTGCTAAGGATGCAAACGAGTATCGGGAAGCGGCATTAAAATGGAGAAAATGTAAAAACAATGAAGCTAGAAAAAGGCATGTGAAGAAGACACATGTGAGATGG